CTTCTCATCCGTAAGATAGCACGAAAGTTTCCATCATTTGTTTCTGGCTCAGCATCATTGATTTTTATTGGACCTGAGTCGCACGTACCTCTCAGTGCCAATTCCTGACGTCCACATAATTTAATTGTTTCAATAACCGGAATGAGCCGTTTCTGATTTTCAATCTGACTTATTATATTTGGTTGAGATTTATTATAAACCTTCATAAAATTATCAACCAATAATACAAAATATTTGTGGTACTGGCTTTCACTGTGATGTTTGAAATCATGTACAGCATCTATCCATTTAGTGAGCGGCTGAGTAACTAACGATTTCAACTGCTGATGAGAGTCTTTACCTGCACAATCTCTGGCAAATAATACACAATATTTGCATAAAGCACCTTGTTGCCCTCTACTCGTGTAAACCAACCACTAGAACGGTTCAAACCATTGCATTTGAAATTTTACCTTTCTTTTATCGTCACTTACTGCAAACTTGAATGTCTTTTCTGGCATCCAACGAGATTTCAACAATCTGTACTTTAAATCATCATCAATTTTGGTGTTTAATCCCGTATAGTCCCTGTACAATGGATCATCCGATTTCGTCAGGAAGAAATTACGGAGGCTGCACACTTCGCGATTATGCATGGTGAGACCGCTTAAAAGCCACGCCCACCATGTTTCTGCGGTAAGTACATTACCTCATTACTGACGATCTCGGATGATGCATCCTGTGGGACATCATAATAGTGCGGACTTTTCTATCCAAAGCGTTCAGTTCGGTCTGAGTCCACCTGAGTATGCCGAAGGTATACATGAGAACGGGCATGATCCAACCGTTATATGCGTGTTTCTAATTAACGCCCGACAAAAGACTGTTAAGCACTTTTGTCAAGCGTGCATAAAACACATCGCAAACTGACTGTTTCGTGTCCGTCTGATCGATACCTAAGTTGTTCTGTGACATACCCATTTTTCAGCCTCGGATAGGGTCTTTATGTTGATGGGCATAGATAATTCTATGCCCTCATAGTTAGCAACCCGACACCTTGACACTTATCACCGACCGACCGCCTCAGCTACGTCATCCGGCGTTATGATGACGCGGTCCATGGGCGTAACATTCGCACACTGACTCACCACAAGTTCCGTCCAAGGGCCCTTGCTGTGGTTTACGGGCTCTGACCATAGGCTGCGCCAGAATGCGACAGTGTCGGCTTGATTCGGTGCTGGGCCCGTTCCACGTACCATTGAACGCTCCAATGATTTATAAACCCACGGTTCACGTGTCGAGCTCTCGATATATCGCCGAATCCGCTTTCCCTAAGCAGCAATTCTTTGCTTCAGGTCGTCTATGCGCTCCGTCAGTTTTTGCGTCATATCTGGCTGGGACAAACTGATATTTGTCCCAGCGAACGCCATCCTGACGGTGCGCACAATTCTCGGCCTATTATTGCCGGGCCTGAAGCTTATCAGGGGCCCTTGCCTTTGCGATACGGTCCTCAATTCTTCTTCTCCAGGCTGGGATAGCGCTACTTTGCCCAGTAGAACGTTATGCGCGGTCGCGGTCGATTTTCGAGAGGCGTACAGCGTGTTTCCACAATCGCTTCCTCCAATTTACTCCTCATCTGCTCTAGTTCGTGGGTGACCATTCCATCATCGCCTGAATCTACCAGAGCGGGAAGATTCATTGCAACTTCCTCGTATGGCTGCTGGTCATTGGCCTTAGGAAACGCATCCCCAGCTATAGCTGGTTCATTCGATGAGGGAATAGCCTCACGCCGTAGTTGTTCGAGTTCGGCATCATCAAATATTTTCGAGCGTATGATGTACCGAACTCGGTCTGCCAGGTTTTGCTCTGTGACGGGAATAGACGGCCCTAGCTCAGCAAAAAAGCGATGCATCCGGGCCCGATACGCTATCCCTTCAGTTTCTTCCCATTTCGCCATATAGTACGCCCGCAATGCGTTTATGTTCATGTTTTTGGTCCAACGCATGCGGCGTACTCCATCAGCGGCGGGTGCCGCTTGCCGAGTCCGAGAGTACCCTGCCGACAACAAGCCATCTGGTGAGGATGATGGATGCGAGGGGCTGCTAGTTGGTCGTGCAGCACCTCGCGCTCGGCGAGCGGCCTGCATGCTATCGCATCCAGCGCCAGCTCCAGACACGCCCCGGCAACCCCCAGGTAGCGGCCCTATGCGCGGTCTATGTTTTTCCATCAGCCATAAACTGGGCGTCAATTAACGGGAGACGCCCAGACCCGGCACCGTTTCAAGATTTGGCCGTAAGCACAAACGGGCCCAAATTACCACCCTCAGTTCTGCCGGGGCAAGGCGCTGACTGACTGCGCCGGCGTAACAGTTTTATCACTTAACTGTTATGTCAGGGGGCGATGGGGTCGTCAATTCCCTATGCCCTTTTTTGAATGCACTTCACATAATAATTTGACCTTTTCAACAAGTATGCATGTATTTTTATAAGTATGCTAATGTCTACTAAGTAATCTTGGGACAGTTTGTATCATGTTTCTATAAACGACTGTACATAGGGGAGGCCGAAATTCAGATGAAAAAATAATATACGAATTCCGAATATCCACACCGTCTGGGATGGATAAACGAACACGCATTTCCGAGTATCCACCCTAAGGTTGATTTCTCAGGATGAATAAAAGGAATAATCCATTTTTAACACTATCAATTTACAATGTAATGAGTACGAGGGGTGATCCAAAAGTAATGATAATCTGTTACTTCAGGTCCGCATAAAAATCCAAAAAAAATATTTTTTGCTTGCTTATATACTCACTACGTCAGCCTAAAAAAATCATATAAATAGATCACGATTTCCGGGAGATACATTCATTTGAATACGAACTGTCAAAGAGATAACATCAACATGGAGAAAAACGAAATTAGAGCTGTCATCAAGTACCTTTGTTTGAAAAAAATGTCTTCAAAAGACATACACAGTGACTTAGTGGAAACATTGGGGGACTCTGCTCCTCCATATTCTACAGTTGCACGCTGGGCCAAGGAGTTTAAACTGGGCATCCACTAAAGATGAACATCGCGAAGGACGCCCATCCACGTCCCTCACTGAAGACAACGTGAAAAAAGTCGAAGATGTTGTGTTGGCAGATCGAAGAGTGACCATCAGGCATGTAGCTGAGGTCACAGGGATCTCATATGGCAGCGTTCAAAGAATCCTTGCGAACGAGTTGTATATGAAAAAGGTCTCTGCGCTGCGGTCAATCTCGAAAAGTTCCAAGCAGATCAAGAAAATTTTTTGTTCCGTTTTGTGACTGTGGACGAGACCTGGATCCACCATTTTGATCCTGAAACGAAACAACAATCGATGACTTGGAAGCGAGCCTCCTCACCGACGCCAAAGAAATTCAAAGTTTCAAGTTCGGCGGGAAAGGTTATGGCATCTGTTTTTTGGGACACTCAAGGCATAATTATGGTGGAATATTTGGAAAAGGGAGCCACTATTACGGGCTCTTACTACGCAGACCAAATAAGAAGATTACGGGAGGCCATTAAGGAAAAAAGACGCCGCAAACTGCGAGCTGGAGTGCTGTTTCACCAAGACAACGCACCGGCTCACAAAGCCGCAGTTGCGATGGCTGCCTTTCAAGAAACGGGATTCGAACTGCTCGAACACCCTCCCTATTCGCCAGATCTAGCTCCTATTGATTTCTACCTCTTTCCTCGGCTCAAGGAACGCCTCCGAGGCAAGAAATTCTAAAACGATAGCGAAGTAATGGCCGCTGTTGAAGCGTTTTGAGAGGGTCAAGATAAAGAATTTTTTTTTAAAGGGATTCCTGGGTTTAGAAAAAAGATGGACTAAATGTATTGATTTGTTAGGAGACTATGTAGAAAAATAAATTATTATTTTAACTTTAATTACCGTGTTTTATTTTCATTATTATTACTTTTGGATCACCCTACAATAAATATTATTATTATTATTCAAGGCGATAAAGTATTAAGATTGAAAACATCCAAAGTGATAGTGTTGAACCAAAGTTTCAGTTTCGGCCACCTTTTGCCAAGAAAAGCTCATTTGGCGAATTCATTCGCAATGGCAATTTTGCAAACTCAGCTGATGGTTTGGCCGAGGCCGAAGGTTTGATTGAACAGCCTATAACGTAAGAATTTTTGCCAATTACGTTAATGTATTGCGCTCTGCGCGATTAGGACACCGGCCCGGCGTCTAAGAGAATTCAAACGTTAAAAAAAGTTTTCTTTGCGTGCAGTGAGAAGTTTTTTTTTTTTATAGAAGAAGTGGTGATCTATCCTCGATTAAGAATTTGTCACTCCTGAGGACTGAGTAGGAATGTCTTGTTTCCAGTAAAAAAAAGTCTCAGGTTCTCTACACCTCTCATCATCTCACCATACGAAACACAAAAGTTATAAGATGCTATTTCACGCTGGTATTCTGCGAGAACGTGGTCCTTCTCGTGGTACAATCGTATACAATATAGCTGCAATCGTGGCTCTACCACGTATATAATATTACATGACTTGAAGAAATGTATATCATATATTTTTAGAAATTATTCCACTTCTGATGTTAGATACAGTCGACAAATCTGACACGAGGCAAAAATCTCTTAAACTGTGCGATGGAGCATAAAAGGGATTATTAACTGGGACCTTTTGCAAAGCTAACACTAGGCTTACAGTATAACGAGATTATGGAAAATTAAAGTGTGCTTTCTAAATGATAATTTCCAATCGCACATAGTAAGAGCAACATGTTAAAAATACACTTTTACTTGGCTGGGTTGTTCTTTCTCACAAGGCGTTACTCTCCAGACACTATGCATTTAAATTACAACCATTCTTTCATAAACACCATATCCACCCCATGTTCGTTGTAGTGCACCGCGCGCTAGCTACAGGCAAATCCAATTATTAGAATGTGAAATTTTTTACCGTTGTGTTTCATAAATAGTTTACTTCAAAATATGATTAAATGTATATCGTTTATCATTTCTTGTTTCAGAGTAAAGATAAATTAGAACTAACCGAAAAATTAACACATGAAAATCATTTAAATAAAGAATTGATGCTTAAACTTGCTGAAATAGATGAGAATACTAAATCATTGCATGATAAACTAATGGCGAAAGATGAGGAAATGATAAGATTACAGAACAGTTATCGACTCTTAGAAAAAAAATATGAACAATTTGCTGAGAATAACCAACAACTTTCAGTGCTCCAGCATAATAATGTCCAAGATCAAATGGATATAAACTGCAACCAGAAGAAAATTGTACATGACCCTGCTGAAAATCACGAAGGCCACAAAGAATTGATTGAAAGTAGCAATGAGGAAATAAGATTGAGTATTGCAAAAGAAGATGCTATGCTTAAGCTTCAAGAGCGTTTTCTTAATATAATGGATGAGGTTGCTAATTTATCGGATGAGAAGCACAGACTTGAACACATTATTCTTCAACTGCAGAATGAAACAGACACAATATGTGAATACATAGCTCTATACCAACAACAAAGAAGTTTACTGAAGAAGAGAGATGAAGATAGAAGTGAGCAAATAAAAATGTTTCAACAAGAAAGTGATAAATTAAGAAGACAATTACAAGATCTTAATAATTTGCTACTAAGATTTGCTAATGATAAAAATTTAGAAACTTATTTACAAGATGAGTCTAGAAAGGTAGATCTAGCCAAGGTTATGGAGCTACTCTCAAACTTAAAGAGTAGTTATTTAATTTCTTCGAATCATAAGAGCCTTGACTTCAAGAACTTTTATCCATGTAATTGCTGTTCAGGGCAACTTATTGAGGTGTAATGTTACTATTCTATAATTCATAAATAATATTGATACACTTGTATTATTAAAGCCAGAATTGCTGCGGTAAATAAAATATGGTTCATTACAAATTAGTTGACCCGTCCGTTGTTACGCAAGTCAAGCCGACTTGCGTAAAATTCGGGAAAAGAATTTTCGGAATCGTATCAGCAGTTCTAGAGATAACCTCCTACAAACAAACTTATAAAAACTTTAAGAGCATGTATATGTCTCACTGCTGGGCACAGGCCTCCTTTCACTTCTAAGAGAGATGGATCAATTTGTTCTCTGCGGTGCTTTAATGCGTGTTGGCAGGCCTCACATGTCCTCGAAATATTATATTTCTTAGACATGCCGGTTTCCTTACGATGTTATCCTTCACCGACGAGCACATGGTAAATCGGCACCACCACTCTTAAACAAGTTTACGTGCGGGAAAAGTATGTTTATTCGACTGATGCCCTCAAACCAAGTAAAAGAAGTAAATGTCAAAGTTAAAGAAATTAATTAATATCTCTCAGGAAAAAAGTGTCCAAATAATGTGCATGAAGTTTTGTACTATAATACCACCATAGTGGAAATTCAAATTCCGAAATTGGGCCGAGTTTCTACCGCTAGTTTATTACTAAAGAAGGTCGTACTGACGTTCTCACGAACTTCGTGGCGAACACGAGGCTCGGTCGTGAATTGATTGATTGCAGAGCGGTCCGTTGATACGGACGGACATGGCGGAACTATAAGGGTTCCTTGCTGTGTAACTACGGAACCCTAAAAATGAAATGAAAAAAATGAAAACAAATCTATGACGGAGCTTATATATAATATATCACACGAGTAAATACAGAGACAAAGCTTCATACAACCGCGCCACGTCAGGTACACCACTACAAGGCTCGGCGGCGTGTGCTCTTACCGACAAGATCACGTACGCGCCACCCGAGACTGGCTTATTACAGCTCCGCCAGTTGACAATCTGAGAGCTAGTGCGTCATGTGGTTTTGTACTGGATCCCTACGAACACTAATAATTTGACACACTTATTTTGTTGTTATTCAGTGTTTAGTGTACAAGAGTGGAAATATGCCTATTTAGTTTACTTTATCTATGAACCAACCAATATCCAATATATAAAAAAGAAATGAATTGCTCTAGCAAATCATTTCTTTTTTATATATTGCTTTAGCAATTCATTTCATTTTTCTGGTAACATTAAAGTGTTCGCGAAACCTAAAACTACAACTTTTGCGAAAAATTTGATGTTGAAGTAAACGTATACGTACCTATATACTAAAACGTATACAAGATTGTAAAGTTGTTATGTCCCATTACATTAATTTAAAAAAAATATGATAGATTACTAAACTGGTGAATAAATGATAAATTGTTGAAAAACAGAAACAATAATAGGAATTTAAAATATGTAATTTGTAAAAGTATGTAAGTAAATGATCATAGTATTTCTAAAATAAATAATGTTATCTACTCGACCATAATAAAGAAAATCGCATAAACAAATGATTCGTTTATTTATCCTCGTGTGACAGCCCTACCGACAATAGGCATAAACTTTGTGCGCTCTTTGAAGCTTTGTCTTTGTGGGGTGCATAAAACACTGTAAGAGCGAATCTACAATTAAAGTAATAATGCCAAATAGTATTTCCTCGAGGCAAATAGAAATTATGTGACTACAAAACTGCTAGTTTACGAACTGCGGCCTGAAAAAAGATAGAAATATTTATTTTTCTTCAAGCCACACATTCCGATAATACTATTAAATACGCACTGATTTACTTACGTAGCATAACACACAAGCACAGGTAATGACAGAGTGAGAGACAACCGCAGCCGTTCATCGTTTTTCTTCCGTTCTACCAAGTCACAACCCACATGTGCTAAGCGAACTGTCGTTATTATGCAACGTTTAGATATTCTCCGAGGACTCGCAGACTAATAGGCACGAGTACAACACTGTTCTGGTGTTCTCGCTACTCGGCTCGAGTATTCGCCTGTTCTCCACTAGATGTCGGCTTTATCGTTACGTTATCCAAAAAAATAAAAGAACTATTTAAGCTGAACGCACATTTGTCCGCGCCGTACGCGCCGAGTTTTACTGATGGCCTTGCACATTTGCCCGTACGCATCGTCAGCACCGTAAGCAAATCTTTTGTATTACCAACAACTATTGTAGTTTTTTCCAACCACTGGTGTGAAATGGTACAGTGAAATTGATCGCTCGAAATCACTATGGAAAGAAATATAGTAATAGCCTGCTTATTGGCAGAGGAAGAAAAAGAAGATTCTGGATTCATAATATTAATTTAAAAAGGCAATTGTATGGAGAATATGAAGGAGATAATTTACTTTATTTAAAGACTTATTAGATGATGATGTACGATTTTTTTTAGATATTTGCATTTAAAATACAAGAAATTTCAAGGATTGCTACGTATACTAAAACCATATCTTTCTGTTTAGGCCCAAAAAAGGTAATTTGTACGACACCCAATCACGTTCGACTTCGTGAATCGCCCAATGGTACCAGGTGTCACGCGCATCGCAGGTAGAGGGCAGCGGTAGGCAGCTTCCCAGCGTGTGACGCTCGTGGGCGAGAGATAGTGGCTCGACGGCGGCAGTTAACTGGGGTCTTTCGATGCCCGCCGCTGAGGTTTCCCGAGACCGTTTTTTTTGAATAGGGTCTAGAATTTTGGAAATTGTGCGCGTGACTTCGCTACGTAATTGTGTTTCGTGAAAACCGCCTCGTTTTAGGTTGTCTAGGGTTTAAGTTCTTGACAAGAGGCTTGTATTGTGTTTAACTGATTAAAGTAACTTCCTTGAAAGTAATTGTGCCGTCGCGTTAAGTGTTCTTTTTTCGTGTGTTGACTATTTTGTTAGTTTTACGTGTCAACGAGGTGTATTTTGAATTCTTATCGCGGCGTAGTATTGGATATCGAACGAAGGAATTTAGTTGTGTTTGTAACGCTGAACCGTGTGACTTACCAAGAGATCGCGTTAGTTCACTATTCGTCATTTGGTGATAAATGAATCCGGGACATTGAATATTGAACTTTGAACTACTGTCAGTTACTGTGTCGGGTGTCACATGTTAGATTCTACGATGAATGTGGAATGAGGCGGTTTTAAGTTAGTTAAATGTACAATGAAGTTAATAGACTAAAATAGTGACATGAAGAAAGAAATGGTCCAGCGGGGAAGCCTACTGGAGTGATGCAGCATTGTGGGGCAGCCTGGAAATCGGCCGCTGCTGGTCACCTCAACTGGTCCAGGTCTCAGACACATACACATCACTAAACACTACTTTCCATGCACCTTGCACACACCTACGGCCTGACCGAGCCTTGGGGCGGCCTTAGATTCGGATACAGGTACGTACTATATTTTTCTAGCCTTCTCCCTTCAGTTTAGTATGATAGGACATTCTTCCATATGGCCATTTGGGCCCGACCTGCGTCTGCCCGTCGAGCAGGCTGCTATGGCCCCAGCCAAGGCGACCTTTGCAGGAGCAGCTGCGGGCCGTAACATTTTTGGTAGCAGAGCGTGGTTGGATTGGTTTAATTTGTGTCTACAATCACGCCCGGCCGTAATACTTAATAATAAAATTATTTTTCTTTGTTGCTTGCTATTTTTGTTTGTTCGCGGGTAGAATCGAAAGCCACGCCCGTTGAGTTGCGCAAGCGGGAGTTTGTTAGGGCTAGGTATGCGTCGTGTAGGTAGATGGTTATTATCACGTAATCGGATGATTATCGTTTTCGTATAATTATAGTAGATTAATTGTCGAAGGATAGGTTGTCCGAGCGAGGTATTTTTTGTTGATCGACTGTGGTGTTTATCATTATTTGTATTGTAATTTGTATTTAATTTAATAAATAGTAATTTGTATTTGTGTAATTTGTATTTAACTTGATTTGATAGGAATTGTATTTGTTATTTGTTAATTAATTTGTATTTGAGCCGCGTAGTAATTTGTATTTAGAAGTGATGCCATCGCGCGGCCAGGGCTACACCATGCCGTTTTGTGTCTGGGTGCGAATGGCGTTTCCTCTCAGGGCTCTCTCGAGCCCTCGACTCCCACGGGCGGGGGCGCTCAGCCGCGCCCCCTGTCGGGGGGTTGTTCCCCCAGGGGCGGGGGGTCGTCTCCCCCTCCCTCAGTATGTTGAGAGAGACTTCACTGCCATTCAGCAGTCAACTAGACTCTTCTCACCCCCGTCAGCTGAGTGACCGCGGTTGTGGTACTACCGTTCCCCCTTTGATGCAGGCAGCCCCAGCTAGGTAGCTGCCGCCCTAGCTCCCACCACGGCCGCCTCCACTAATTCTTTGAGCCGTCAACAGCTCACTTGGCAAACTGTTCTATTGTCGACGGCTTCTGTGAGGGTGTACAACCCGAGCGTCGATTGTTTAGCGGTACGCGCTTTATTGGTTCCGGGTTCACAACACGGTTGGCCTCCACTTGGTTGTTGGGAAGACTAGGGCTCCCCGAAAGCGTTGAATCGCGCTGTTAGGGATTATTACATTTGGTTTTGGTCTAGCACTTAGTTAAAAATTCTTTAAATTAAAAATATAAATGCTTTGGGTTTTCCGCGAAATGTTTTCATATTTGTGGCGGTTGTGATTAAGAACGGTGGTAGAGCCCTGCAGCAGTTTTTTGCTGTTGCACGTATGGGCCGGGTCGAGCCGGGTTGGTACCACGACCTCACAGAATACCGGCGTGAAGTAGAGGCTCTGCTACTGCGTTTCGTCTGGTGAGTGCAGGTGGCCGGAGGCCCAATTCCCCCCCCCCCCATCAATATGGTAGCGGAATTAGACAATAGACTACCCCAGGAGGGTACCAGTACCCCTGGAGAATCCCTCGCTGAGCATCCACGACCATGTTATTCCAATCCTGAGCGTGGGTGCTCAGGCTGCCCCGCGTATTCTGGGGGGGGCAAAATTCCGCTCAAAAACAAAACTGCTCGGGGCAAGCTGAGCAACAATACCAAGGCGAC